TGCCATGACGGACTGTAATTTCCCTGGAACCATAAGCTCAAATAAACTCTTCCTTCTATAAACTGCTTGGGCCAGTGTTTTTATCACAGCAACAGAAAAGTGACTAATACCAAGACCAAAAGAAAAAGATTTATTTTTTATTTTGTGTATATAAGTGTGCTGCTTGCACGTAAGTGCACTACACGCCTGCAATGTGCATGGAGGCTGGAAGAGGGCCTCACATTCCCTGGAACTGGAGTTATAGAGAGTTGTTAGCCACCATGTGGGTGCTGGAAACTGACGGTAAACAAGCCCTTCTCAATGCTGCAAACATGAAGAATAAGGTGGGGCTGGAGGAGCAGGCAGGGAGGCAAAAGCCACCAGCAGGCCCTTCAGTTCTAACCCTGGGGCATTGCCTGGCGCCCAGTTTTTAAAGAGAAAAGATCCGGGAAAAAATGGAACGTTTTCCCTCCCCTTTAATCTTGTGGTCAAACCACTCATCTAAAAGTATGGATTTCAAATTATTAAAGTTCAGTGAGAAATTACTTCTAAGTGTACGTAGATGTGTGTGCCTCTTTAAATCTTGTTCCAAACAGAATCCATCTTTTTGATTAATGTGAACTTCATGTCTTTGGGCTTTTGCAAAAAGTTTTATGTAAAGAGCCGGCTTGTGGAGGGCAGCTGGCACGTCTGTCCTTGCCCTTGTCTAAAACTCCTTCTGCCACTCAAGGCCCAGCTCAGGAGCAACATTTTACTGGTGCCCAAAGATGTGCATTTTGAAGGAGGTGGGGCTCCACTCCAGCCTTTTCATCCTTCAGTCTCATTTGGTGGCACAGACAAGGGGACACCAGTGAGTCGAGCTGCAGCCCTCCGTGTCTGTGGCGCTCACAGACTGAAACCAGTGTATCCTAGGCTTGTGCACAACCATCTCAGTGGCCCCACAGCGAAGAAATGAATTGGGGGATACATGTTCTTTTTTGTTTTTTGCTGGAGAGAAACTGTAAGGTAGGACAAATACCAGATACCAGGATCCTCCTCTGTTGGGTACTGAAGGTACATGTTTATGATCTCAGCACCCCACTCCAAAAGGAACACTGCAGAACACGGAGGTAGTGCATGTCTGAACCCAGGCAGTTTCTTTATGTAAACAGGGCTGGTTTCTAAAAGGGCAACAACAGACAGGCCTGACCAGCAAACCCTTCTGTGGGCTTCCAGGCACAGCCCAGCATCACCGGAAGTGATGGCTCTCCTATCCAAGCAGCAGGCTGGCAGCCGACAGAGACTGCAATGCACAGAGGAGCAGGAAGGACTAGGCCTGGATCCCTGGTAAAAGGTTTCAGTCCGAACCCTGAGCAAAGGAATAAGTGGATAAAACAGTCCCACTAGAAATGTGGGAGGAATGTGATCTGACATTAAAAAATAGGATCTTTAAAAAGAAAACTCTATTAAGTAAGGATCGCTCTGCTCTCAGTAGACCTTCAAGACCCCTCCGTGGATCAGAGTGACTAGGGGCGTTAGGAGCCCCTCTTACCCAGGGGTGTAAGGAGCTGGCCCTGTGCAACACAAGAGTAGAAACTGGATATAAGGGAAATTTTCTTTTTCCTCTCTTTCTGTACTCCTAAAAAGGCACTCCCATGCCCCTCCTCTCTCTCTCTCTCTCTCTCTCTCTCTCTCTCTCTCTCTCTCAGCTTTGACACTGTGGCCTCCTTGGTGAGGTTCCTGGTAAAGAAAGGGGGCCAGCAGAGCAAGAGGATGAGGAGTGGCTCTCCGAGAATGCCTTCCAGACCTAGATGTAAGTGTAGCCAGATAGCAGTCGGCAAGGGTGGCCAAAGGCCTCTGGGCCTCACAGGGAGGTGAGGGAGCTAAGCCTGGTGCAGAAGCCAGGCCTCTGCCTGGCAGAACCCTGCTTTGCCTTTTAAGCATACAGAAATGGACACTGAGTGCTTGCAAACTCTGTAGACCTGTGGCCACAGTGGAGCATACTTTTAGAACCCAAAAGCTCACAGTCTTCTCCCAGACCACGGGGCTCCTACGTACTGGCCATCCCTCACAGAGACCCCTTCACCATGGTTCCAATTCGGCGCTGTCCATCAGACTCTGACCTCTGCAAACACAGTATATGAATGCACTTGAGCTTGCCCCAGGCTGCCAAAGGAAACATTCTTACACATACTTCATTATCTCCAGTCACTTCCTAAGTACATTTTGGTGTCAAATGAGTGTTGGGGAAGCTGTGATAACACAGTAATTTACTAAGCACACTGCACAGAAGAGCATGTGCTTATTAAGTGCATCCGTGTGGGTCCCGAGGCATTCCTATAAGAATGCTCATCCTCTGGCTGTGGATCCTAGTGTGGAGCAGGCCCCACTGCACGCTCAGGTATCACCTCCATCCCGCCACTGATTGACAGCCGCCCTGACTCCCATGAGTAACAAGCAGGAAATCCCAAAAGTACCCACAAGACCCAGAAAGCACATGGGGTTGAGGGGGCACTGGAACCAGAAGATACAAATTTAAAAAGAACTGTGCCGCCTCCGACAGCAGCTGGCTTTAGAGAGGCAGCTGCCGAAAACAAGATGTTTAGACTGCCTGATTGTTTCACGAACCTGTGAAAATACCGGGCTGCTCCAGCAGAGAAAGAGGGGAGGCAGGCAGCTAATCAGAAAGACAGGAGGTGTCTTCGAAGCCTGGGCCCACACCAGCATGAAACCTGCTGCAGGCAAGATTGTGGGGAGACGTGGGCTCCCCAGCTACGCTGCTCCATGCAAGAAGAAAACTTTCAAGATGGTTTTTCCCCTTCACTTGTTTAAAAATAAAAAATTCCTCACTGCACGTCAGGTGCGTGCCAGGCTCCATTTGTCTTTATAACAGAGTATCGGGAAGGGAATAAATAAACACAGAGGGAAAACTGACCAAGCCTCACAGGCTCACAGGCAGGCTGGGGGAGGTGAGCCCCCACCGCAGCCACCGACAAATGACATTTCAATCTCCATCCCTGCCCACTGTCACTCTTCTCACTGACCCTGGCCGTCGCCCTGGGCACTTCTGAGTGGGACGGATGCTCTGCTGGACCAGGCCTTCCTGTTTAATCCCACGGAGCATCAGAGGTCGCTCTGCACTGTGGTGAGGGAAGGGCAAATCAACCAGACTCTCACCCCGAGGAGAAGGGCTTCCAGCTTCTACCCATGAAGGGGATAGATGGATGTCAATCCCTGGCTAGGACCTGAAGCTCAGAATGGCATTTTCTCTGCATGCTCAGCTCATCCCCAGACACCAAACAGTTCTGCCATCTCCCTCCTTTAGAGTTGAGCCAGCGCCTGCCACAAGACAGAGAGGCGCACTGGGAAACCCAGCCCAGGAGGCCACCTCTCCGTAATTATCTCTGCACTGGTCTAGATTGCCCTGGTGAGCGTCTGGAGCCTGACCTGTCCTCCAAACAGGATGAGAATCAACATGCCTGGCACCCCAGCCTCCCCAGGACACTCAGTGGTAGGAGGGAGGACAGGCTGCAAGGCCCTGGCCCTGGCCCTGACCCTACTGCCTGCTTCCCGGCTGCGTGACTGGATCCGCCTTTGCTCTTGCCAGGCCTCTGGTCCCTGCGGAAGAGCAGTGAATTCACCCAGACCTGCTGCAGCAATGCCCAGGGCCAGTGGGCAAGGAGCGTTTGCAGGGAAGGCGCAGCAAAGCTAGAGGCACGGTCTATGGAGACTTCTAGACTGGGGGCGGAGTGGGGGGCGGACGCAGGTGTCTCCGGGGCCCCAAACCTCTAGGGAGGGCCACACAGAGCAATCATCTAGGTTCTCTTTCCCTGGCGAGAGCAGAGCTGTTGGAAACGCGCATCTGTGCCAGAAATCCCCAACGACTTGGCGCAAACAGCCTGAGCGACCTGGCCAACCCTCCCCTGACTCCCAGCTGCCTCCCCCGCAGCTGCCTCCCCTGGGGAGAGGCTAATGCTGCCTGAGCTCGCCCCCTTCACCTCTACCTGTGCTCCCTAGCCTCCCGCGGGTTCCCCCACCTTCTCCACTCTGTCACCCTTGCAGGAACCCCACAGCATTCCCAGAAGCTGCCAGCCGGGAAAGGAGGGGTTAAGCGCTGCCTCCCGTGTGCGGTGCGCCTGGCGCCCACGCAGGGAGGCCTCAGGTCCCCTGGGAGGGAGGGGGCGGCAGCTACGTCCTCCCTCCGCGCCCAGGGGAGCTCCCTGCCCACCGGAGACCGAGGTGCCGGCCTCGAGAAGGCGCCCCTGCGTCAAGCCCCCACCCTGACAGCCGCCTCCGCAGCCCCAAGGCCGCCAGCACCCCGCTTCCACCAGCCGGCGCCTTCGCTCCAACTTTCTCCCTTACAATAGTCGCTCACCTGGAGGGTCTGGTTTTAATTAGTGTAATATTCCCGTTACCGGAGCAGCCTGATTAAGACATCCGCCCCATCCACGATGCGCACATTCTGCCGTGATGTTTATACTTTTTTCCCATCATTTTTTTTCAGATCAGTAAAACCAAAGCCAGCTTCTGCTGAAAGACCTCATTACCGAAGACCCCACTCCTTTAGCCTCATACCTGCTCTGCGCTCAGTACCCAGGTCTCCCTGGTGTGCGCCCTGGGTGTCCCCAGCCTGGCGGGTAGTCTGGGAGGAAATTAACGACCCCAGGGCTCCAGGGAAGGGACTTCACCTCCAGCCGCAGGAGGAAGGGGCTTGTCCAAGAGAAGGATGGCTCCCTCAGTGTCTGTCCCTAGCCTTCACCACCACCCGGTGTCTAGCGCAGCGGGAGGACGGGCACCACGGGAGTCCTCTTTAAAAGTGACCATTGAATAAGAGTTCCTCCGAAAAGCGGGACCTCAAAGGGGAATGCGGGGAGGTGGCTCTGCCCTCCAGGACTCTCCCCACCTCGCTGGACCGCCCCCCCCCGTTCCTCCGAAAAGCGGGACCTCAAAGGGGAATGCGGGGAGGTGGCTCTCCCCCCCAGGACCCCCCCCCCCCCGCTGGACCCCCCCCCCCCCGCCAGTGGGCTTCGGGGGCATCTCACCTTCAACCCCATGTGAGACCCAGGATCCTGGGGTCTCTTCGCCAGCCCTTGATCCGGGAACAGGTTTGGGTCCGGACCCGGGTGGCCCGGGCACTGGGGGGCTGCGCGCAGGGGATGAAAATGAGGCTTCGACCCGGAGCCCCCAAATGACCACTGGCCTAGAGCCACCCCGGACGCCGCCCTCCGGAGGAGGTGAGCCCCAGGGAACCTCTCCGCCTTCCAGGGCCACCCAGGCAGAAAGTTTGGGCCGGGGGTGTGCCGGCCGCCTTAGTTCGGCTTTCTCGAAGGCTGCCGGGGCCCTGGTGCTGCGCGGAATGCAGAGGCAGCCTTGCATCCTCGCTTCCGGGCGGGTGCCCGCCACCCGTGCCCGCAGCTCGGTCCCCCGCACACCGCGGCGCTGCGGGGCCCGGTCCCCTCCAAGGAACCGTGCGGGCCTTTAGCCTTGCCCCAACTCCTCAGGGGCATCAGCCCTCCCGGAGACTCTCCTCCGGGAAGACCCCGCGGAGCTCCGCAAGCCTGGGAGTGGCGGGACTCGCACGCCGCACCGCGGTGGGGTCGCCATCCCGGTTCCCACCCGCGAGGGTCGGGGCCGCCTCCAAACGCGCCCCGCGGGCCGGGATCTCCGTGCGCCACGGCTTCCCCCCCGCCGGGGAGTTCCCAAAGCCGGGCATTGTGCCGCCGCCGCCGCCGCCACGGCCACGCAGCGCGCGGGACTCCCCGGTGTCTCCATGGAGCCTGACCCCGGGCCTTCCCATTCACAGACTCTCCCCCCTTGTCCCCACGCCGAGCCACGCGCCGCAACCCCAGCCCCTGAGGAACCCGAGAACCCGGATCGGGTGCACGGACCCCTGACCCCAAGGGCGCCACCCGTCCCCGCGCGACCTCGGGTCGGTCTCAGGCCACGCTCCGCAGCATCCCCCGCACCCTCGCCAGCCCCGCCTCCCACTGCGGGGTCCTGGGCGCCCCTCCCGGGCCGTGCTCACACCCCCACCCCCCAGCTCCCCGCGGCGGGTGGTCGTGACCCTGGCGCGACACCGACACCAGGGTCGGGTACTCACGGGCTCAGCGCTCCCCGCGGCAGGTGACCGGGCCCCGGCGGCCATGCCCCGGCTGCATCCCGGCCGCCCGGCGGACAGCGGCGTCCCGGAGCCGGTCCGGCGACCAGGGGCGCGAGAGGCCGGGCTGGAGCTGCGGTACGGCCGCGGCGTCTCCAACCACGCGAGCTCCTGGGGCCCGCGCCTGGCTGCTGTCCGCGAAGGTCCGCCGGCCTCGGAGCACCGCGTCCCCGCTCGCTCTTGCCTCGCCGTCTCTCTCTCTCTCTCTCTCTCTCTCTCTCTCTCTCTCTCTCTCTCCCCCCCCCCCCCCTCGTTCCGCTGGCTCGGCGGCTGGAGCGAGCAGGAGCACGCGGCGGCGGTGGCGGTGGCGGTGGCGGCGGCGGCTTTGGCGGAGCAAGGGAGGGAGGGCTCCCGCGGTCGCCTGGTCCCGGGAGGGAGGCGGGAAGGGGAGGGTCGCGGGCCTGCGGGTGGTGGCCAGACGCGCCCTGGAGTCCCAGCTGCCGCCCCCCACACCCGCAGAACAGGGGCGTGGAGGGGTGGGCGACTGGCAGAGCACCCCAGAACACAGTCCCTCCGTGCGCCCCCCTGGGGTCCCGCTTTCTCCTCCCACCCTCCCTCTGAGCGACCTTAGCCCGGGGTCAGCTCTAGCGACTCTTAACAGGACCCCCTGCATCCCCAGCCTACTGGGACCGGTTTCTGTCCCGCTTCTCCCAGGGGTCCCTAGAAAGACTTGGTCACAGCACAGCAGGAAAGAATGTCCCCTCCCCCACACCTTCCCAGCTGGTCTGCATCCAGCCTGTGCCTCCTCTTCTGTTTTGCTCACTGGTCGCTGGGGTAGACTCTTAATAGGCCTGCCATTCCATGCCTTCCCCGGGATCACAGGCGAGGAAGCCACCAGGGCCACCCCAGAACAGGGCACACACGCAGGTGCACTTGGCCCATTGGTAATCCCACGGGCTTAAATATTTCCACCCAGGCCAGTTAGGACAGTCTAAAATGAGAAGAGGGGGTGCTGTAGCTCCTTCCCAACTCACAGCCTCAGCCTCCCCAGTCCCAGGAAAAGGGAGCCTAGCATGGGGTCTGAGGATTGGGGTCTCTAGACTTGGGAGGGGAAGGGGAGTACTGGGCTGACTGTTGGGACCCAGAGACCAGGTACATCAGTAGAGGATCTGCAGAGGTCAGCCAGGGGCCTGGATGATCCCAAAAGACTTTGGCTGGACCCAGCTACTGTTGTAAAATCAAAGTACACTGCCATGCTTGGACTGGGGACCAGAGGCCTGCACCTCAAAGGACATTTCCAGTGTAACAAAAACGATAAAACCCCTGTTCTGGGTTGCTGGATGCTGCTTATAGAATAATCAGGTTCCTTCTGGTACCTGACTACTGCTTTTCAGTCTGAGGCACAAAGCTCATCATGGAACCCGGGGTTCGGGGAGGTGGGTGCAGGGAGAGTGTGAGTGGAGAAGGGAGGGGCACAAAGCGGCCGCCCTGAGTTGCTGTCAGGCTCTGCCTTCCCTGCATTGTGAGGACAGTGTCCAAGCCCAGTGGCTGCTGCCTGCTCAGGAGCAATCAGCTTTTAATTTCTAGCCCTTCGGCCTGTCTGGGCCATTGATCTGTCTTGCCCAGTGGGAATCATGTGCTACAGTTGAAGTAAGAGGCTCCAGCCCTGCAGCTGAACATTGGATAAATGCCTTGTCTCTGGGAAGGCCAGGCAGCCATGGGGGTCAGTGAACATGCCCCAAACCCAGATTTGAGATGGCACAGCCCTGCCCCAAGACCTACTGGCTTTGTCTATGCTCTGTGATCAAATGGTCAAGGTTTTCATGGCCTGTGACTAATGATGGCTAGGCTCATCTACACCCCATCACTCACCTGTCTTGCCTCTGTGGGCCAGCAGCACCTGTCCCTCGCCCTGGGAACCCATCTTCTCTGGCCTAGTTCCTACTCCTTCAGAGTCCCATCTTAGAGCCCTCCCAGAGAGAAGGTCTCTGGCTCCCCATCCAGGACTGCTTACAGCTTTGAGCATGGAGTGGAGAAGCCAGCCATGGAGGCTCTAGTCCCATACCAACCTCTGGGGGCCATTCCCAGAAAGGTTCCAGGCCTTGCTCTGGCCTCCGCATGGGTCCAGCCAAAGCTAAGCACAGTCAGCCACTTAGACAGCAGGGTAGTGCATTGAAGTTGACACCTACAGCCAGGGGTGGCCACGGGGCCTACTCAGTAGAATACCCCTTGGGAACAGGTCCCAGGGCATTTGTACTTCAGGCCCAGCTACCATCAATAGAGATCTGCCCAGTAAAGGGTGCTAGGGCCTCTCTGTACATCCTCATGTTGGGACTAGCCAGGAGGCCTCATACTTTGGGGGGCGGTGTCCATGTAAGAGAATCTGGAACCTTTATTTTTAAGAATATTCTGGCTGGAGAGATATCTCAGTTGTTAAAGACTTAGGCTCACAACTAAAAGAATACAGGAGTGTCTTGGAATAAGACTCAGAAAAGCAAAGGACGATTCATCCCCAGCTACAGTGAGAACTGAACACAGTATACCTGCTCCCTTAGAAAACCTCAAGCTACGAGAAGAAGCTTGTTTTTTTCAACGTAAAGTAATAGTTGATATTGATTGTCAACAGGATCTAGAATCACCTAGGAGTCAAATGTCTGGGCCTGGGGAGTTTCCGTTGTCAACTTGACACACCTGGGAAGGACCCGCTACTGGGGAACCACCTCCATTGGGCCAGTCTGTGGCTTGTCTGTGAGGCATTTTCTTGATTGTTGAGTGATGTGGGAGGGCCCAGTCACTGTGGGTGGTGCCACCCCTGGACAGGAGGTCTTAGAGGAGCCAGTAGGCAGTGCTCCTCCATGGTCTGTGCTTCAGTTCCTGCCTCCAGGTGCCTGCCCTGAATTCCTTCAATACAGACTGTGCCTTGGAAGTATAATAAAGATGAAATAGACCCTTTCCTCCCCAAGTCGGTCTTGGTCAATGTTTTATCACAGCAATAGAAAACCAAACTAAAGTAATGTGTGCAAGGGAGTTTCTAGATTGGGTCAATTGAGTTGGGAAGAGCCACTCTAAATGGGTGACACTGGCACTTAGGCTGGGGTCCTTAACTGAATAAACTGGAGAAAGCCAGCCAAGCGCAGTGTTCCTCTGTCTGCTTCCTGGGCTATGAGCAGCTGCCTCGTGCTCCGGTCACCCTCCCTTCCCCACCATGAGGGACAGGACTCTTAAACTTTAAGCAGAAATAAACCAGTCCTTCCTTGAGTTGGGTTTTTAGATAATCGATGTAGCCACAAGAAAGGTAATTACTAGGGGTTATGACCCTCCTCCCCCAGCCCTTGGAGTATAGCAGAGAAGAAAACCACCAAGTGTGGATTGCAGGAAAGAAACAGGTCTGGAGGCAGGCTAGGGACCGACAGCTAAGTCCTGCTGTGAGAAAGGCTGGCACATAGGGTCCATGTAGGGGACAAAGGCAGAGCCCCCAAGTGCCTGGGAAACCCAAGGGTCCCTCTCAGCCCCAGAGCCCGGACATCCTGACCCGGGGTCAAGGGAGAGACCTGAAAATACCTTTAGGGTTCTCAGCCTGCTGTTCCAGGGTACAGGCCCCACCCAGCCCTGAAGGTCAACTTTGCAGACACTCCCTAAAGTTGAGGAGCCCCGCTCAGCAGACCTCTGAGCAAGGCCTCAGAGAGACAAAGCTACCAAACAACTTCTCCTGGAGGGAGGGAGTCATGGGGCGGGTCTTGGAGGAGACAGACATTGAGCAGGGTGGAGAAAATATCAGAAATAGAGATATTTAATATCCTCAAAGAGATCAGAGGAGATATTGCAACCAGAACCAGGATGCTATTTTAAGGAGAACATTTAGAGAACAAAAAAAAAGGGCCGGGAATTAAAAGCATGAGAACCGAAACAAAAAAAAAGCTCCGCAGACTGGCTGGAAGATAAAAGTAAGTGAATGTACCAGAAGGCAGAGCGAAAAGACAAAGACAGGTAAAATAAGAGAAGAAAAATTAGATGCTGTGCTCGTAAGAGCCAGCATCCGGACGAAGGAATGAGGGCGGGGTCACAAATTATTTAATTGAAGAAATTTTCCACACACAATGGGGAGGAATGGACCCACAGCAAAGTATATTCTCGTGAAAACAGAACACTGAAGGCAAAAAGAAAAAGATCTCCTCAAGCTCTGGGTTCCACAAAAACCAGCAGGAGCCGGAAGTCTCAGCAGCAACAGGTGAGGCAGGGAGGACTCAAATCCAACTCTCCAGAGTTCAGGCAGCGAAAGGCTGTCATCGCCGAAATGCTGTC